TTTGCTAACTCGATCTTGTATTACCAATAAAGCATCTTTAAACTGTTTGATTTTTTCACTCATTTTTGCTTACAAGTAAGCTGGTTTAAAAATGTTATCTATTCCTATAATACAAATAGATTCTAAAAAAGCTTATAAACTAGATATATCTATTGCTTTGCGTAAGATTTATTATCAACCTAATGGCTATCAAAGAACTGTAAAAAAATTGCATGAAGCTTCTCTAAAAGCAGGATATAATTTTTCTATCGATGAAATATGTGATTGGCTTGAAAAACAGGCTTTATATCAGATCCATAAACCATGTCCAAAGTTTATTCCTAGAGCCTCATTTAATAGTATACAGATTTCTAATGAATGCCATCAAGCAGATATTCTTTATATGCCTCATAATATAACTTATAAATATTGCTTATGTATAGTTGATGTAGCTTCACAATATAAGTGGGCGGTTCCTTTAACAGATAAGACATCAAGTAGTGTAGCTAAAGCCTTTAAGAAAGTTTATAGTAATTTCAGATGCCCTCTTATTTGGCCTAAATTATTAATGATAGATCCTGGTTCAGAATTTAAATCAGACTGTAAAGAATTAATAGAAAAACATAATGTTAAAATTAAGATTGGCACATCTCATAGAAGTCAAGCTATTGTTGAGAGATTTAATCACACTTTAGCTGAAAAATTGTTTAGATTACAGGATGCTTTAGATTTATTGTTGCCTATCTCCAAAAGATCTAGAGCTTGGGTTAAAAATCTTCCCATTATTGTCAATGATCTTAATAATTCGATAACTAGACTAATTGGTATGACCCCTGCTAAAGCTATAAAAATGAAGCAAGTTATTGCTATATCTTCCAAATTATGAAATGGACCTATAGCCTTTAATGAGTCTAAGCTATCATATAATACATCAGTAAGATATTTGCTTGAACCTGGTGAGTTAGAAGGTGGACAAATGCGAGTAACTGATATAAATTGGTCTTCACAAGTTTATTATATTTATAAAACTTTAGTACAAAAAAATTAGCCAATATTATACTGGCTAGAAGATAATGAGGGCAATGGACCAAGGTGCTCTTTTGTATTTGAAGAGCTTCAAATCATTCCTTCTAATACAGAATTGCCACCCCAATGGGTGCTTACAAATTAAAATATTTATAATATAAAAGATGTTTGTGGAATGCTTCAAGTTGATGTTCCTGGTCTTTTATAAATTAAGGAAATCTTCTGCTTCTTTATTGATTTGGGCTTCTTTAATGAAATAATCTTTAGCTAAATTGTAATATAATTTATATAATTCTATAATAGAAGTATATATCTTTGGGTCTCGTCTGTAAAATTCTTTGTAATCATTCATAGTTTTATTATATTTGTCCTCATTAGGAAATATAATTTGGGCTAAGCTTTTTATATATTCTTCTGGGTCTTCTGCTTGGCATAATTTTATAATTCACTCTTTATAACTTTGCATGAACTTACCTTCTTTTGGCTTTTTATAATAGATGCCTGCTTTAACTACATTAATTAAAGCTTGCTCAACTTCTTGATAGGTAGGCTTGGTTTGGATATCTTTTGTATCTTGAGTTTGATTACTTATTGTATATGCGTGCTGGTACGAAATTCTTTATCTGTTACTTATAATATATTTTTATTCAATTTGAAACTTAATATGTATTAGGCATATATAAAAAATGCAGTTAGATGAATATATATGTGATTTTCTTTTATATACTGGAGAGATATGTAGACAGTCATATATGAATTCTAAAGGGTGTTGGCTTCATAAAAATGCTATTAGGCATTATTCTTGTACTGATTGTGGTAAACCTACTCAGTCTAAAAGCGGTAGATGTCCTGACCATATTAGAAGCTATTATGTTAGTAGACATTATCAAAAGTATTATAAAAGGAAAATAGATACTTAATTTTTGGTACTTTGATTTATATATAGATGAATAGTATATGTTATCAGGTGTGACGATGAGATTAATTTTTTGTCATCATTTGATTTGATTATAAAATATAAATTAGTGAGTTCTAGCTATATAATTTTTGGTACCCAGGTTTTTATATAGGTACTAAAGAGTTGTTATAGAATATATGTTTACAAAGATGTGAAAAAGGTAAGATGACTACTTTAGTACCCAGGGTGCCAAAAAAGTGTTCCAGAACCCCTCTTTTTGCCCTACTACATCAACCCCAGTAATGCCATACTATCTTGCAGATCTTATCTTACATTGGTTAGTTGATCTCTAGTCTTGTTTGTCATAGACTTCCATATAGGTACGACCAGAACCCGATTTGGTACTTTTACATTGCACAAGGAGGTTATACACCTACCTCCAAGATCTTCTCTTCTATAATTAGATTATTCAGCTGTGCCAGAGGTGCTTCCAATTTTGGTTAGACCAATCCTTTATCACAGTTTGTCCTCATGTTCACCGCTTCTCTTACCATTCCAGTCTTGGTTACTTGTCAGACTACTCTTCCAATCAAATCCTCTCCTTGGATCCCAATTAAGACTTATTTGCACAATCTGTTAATTATCCTTCCAAGCAAGTACCCCACAAGTTGGATGCAGGGATGTTGGTACTGCCTATATTGGAAAGTATAAGGATGTTGGTGTTGCCCTAGTCTAAAGAACTTACATGTGCAATCTTTCTATAACTGTAACCTTCTGTAACAACTGCTTGTTACGCATAGTGCCTGCACTCCACAATTGGGTCTCCTTCTGGGAATTCCTATTTCTATCATTGTACTGCACTTGGACTTAACCACAGGGCTTTGTGTTCAATTACAGGCTTCTTATTAGGTTATAGAAGCTAAAATCTTTCAATTTTGCCTCTAGCTGGACTTGAACCGTTGACCTTAACTATGGAAGGTATGGGAGCTTAACTGCTAAGCTATAGAACCCATACTCTACTTTTCTCTATTAGTATGTTTAAAATTGTATTTATTTTATTATTAATTTTTATTCAATATTAACAGCTATTTTTTATTGTTTCTTCTTTTTTTATATATTTATTGCATTTGCTGATTTTAGTTACTAGATTATTTTTTATATTTTGCATTTGTCAATATTTTACTAGTATATTTATTTTTTTTCTAACTACTTTTTCTAGTTATCTAGTGTTTTTTGTATTATATATTATTTATTCTCTTATTTTTTTATTCTTTAATAAACTTTTTTATTTAATCTTTATTGCCTATATATTATATCTGTTTGTCTTAAAGTATTCTTTAACCTCTCTGCTTTTTGATTTATTAAACACTTTTGCTTCTATTATTTTGAACCAATTTGCTTTTTTATCTTAATTGTTTTTAATAATTTTTTAATTATTACTATCCTTTAAACTATAAACTATTTTTAAACAAATTTGTCTAAAAAATTAACAAAAATATACTTATAATTTATATTTTTTAAATTTTAAAATATTTAAATAAATTTTTTTTTAATAATATTTAAAAATAAGAATTATAATATAGTAATATTAAATTTTATATTATAAGAAAAAAAGTATAAGTTACTTATAAACTACAAATAGATAAATTTAAAAAATATTTTAATCAAAATAATATTCACTAATTTTTGGTAAACTCTTTAAATATTAATTTTAAACTTATAATTTTTAATACAATATTATAGCTTATATAAAAAATGACAACTTTTATTAATATAACTTTTTTAATTTACTTATAAAAATTTAAAATTGTATTAAGAATATTTTTTTTAGTTTTAAAAATATATAAAATCTTAAAAAGTCTAAAGAAATTTTTTATAATAAAAATTTTTAAATAAAAACTTTAAATTTTTATTATTTAAAAGTTTCTTATTAATTTTAAAAAAATGTTCTAATAAAGTTTATAAAGTATTTTTTTTTTGCTTTTACTAAGACTGTTAGTTATTAGCAGCTACTACTTTTATTATAAATTTAATTATGATTATATAACTTGTACAAGAAAGATCTCTATATTATACTAACAGTTAGTGCACAAGTTTTCATACAATAAAGTGTCATCTAATCTAATTCTGACCTCCTTGTCTGTATGTTTGTCAAGCTGTTATATATTTCAGAATAAGTTGCCTAATTGTAAGGCCTCTTTGCTAACTAACTACTCACATTTAATCATTGTTAACAAAACTAGCCCTTGTAAAGTTTATTCAAACCCTAGCACTAATTTTATAGTATATTTTTAGTATTTAGTTTATATCCTGTTTTAATTTTTAAACTTCTAATTTAGATAGCTCAAAAGGACTATAATCTGTCTCTGATATTCCAAAGGTCTGCCTTCTTTAAGATCCTTTTTCTTTAGTTTGAGATTTTCAGTAACCTGGTTGGTAATACCTTTCACTTGAGGTTCTTGCTTGCCTAATTTCTTTTATATCAGTATTTATTTTCAAGATCTAGTCTTTATAGTAATATTATCAAAGATCTGTGCTACCTTTCTATTTAGATCTTTCTAAGTGGGTTTTAGTTTTTTTAGTTCTACAGATTTATATAGCCACAAGGACTTATTTTGGGTTTGTATTATCTGATACTGGTTTGTATTTCTTTGTATACCTTCAACATTACACAGATGCTTTATAATCTACCAGTTATGCTAATGTGATTATAGTTACAAGTATCATATTCCAACTAATTAATAGAGTGCTATCATCATAATACTGTATACCTTTTATAATACTAATATTATATAGATAGTTTTTCAAATTTTTACTATTAGTAGATTTTAAACTTCTAACTTACTACTTGGAAGGTTAACAACTTATTCACTTTACTAAGTCATTACATTTTTATAAAATATATTTTTAATAAAATATTTTATAAATAAACTGTATCTTATATTATTAACAATTTATTATATTAGAGAATAGTGATCCTAATATAATGGTTAGGCTGTCATTCTCCAAGTAGCAAATCTAAGGTTCAAATTTTATCTATAATGAAATTTGAAAATTAATCTGTATTACAAAAAACTATCTCTTGTTGATCAATTAGATTTAGGTATCTGTAATTTTGGGTACAATCAATTGGGTTTTACTTATCATTAGAAACTTGAGGCATCTATATGAAATATAAAATTACATATTATATATATATAGAAGAATGTATAACCAGTATCGCATAAGTCTTCAATGCAAATCTATAATAAGATTATCAGATGTAGAAGACAAAAAACTAAGAAGATAGAATCCTACTTAGAATTTATGAGTAAAGAGATAGCACAAGCTTTCGACAGTGTTGTTGAACTAATAAAAGCTCAGAAAATTCCAATAAAAAATAAGACAGATATAACTGAATAAAAAAATATGTAGAAGAGAACATGACCAATCAGGCTGCCAGAATTGCCAAAGAAAAAGGATACCAAAAAGTATACTGTACTGAGTTATCTGAATTGAAAGTCTGCAGATTCTGAGTTGGATAGTAGAAGAATGAAGAGAAGAAATCAAAAAGATAGGTATCAGAATTTGGGTAAACTTTACAAGAATAAAAATAATATAATGTAGCAGTTTAATAGTTAACTCTTATAACTGCAAATATTAGATAACTATAGCATGTTATATAAAACTAAGTCAGTATGTGTGAGATGTAAAGACTCTATTAAGTCTTTTGTCAAAGATAAAGTAGTCCTAAAATACTAATAAGTATTGGAAACTTGAATAGATGTAGCCTTAAGATGTTTTTATAATACAAAATGGATTGCATATGCAGAAGGTTTAAATAGGCAAGACCCCTAGTTGGCTTGCAGATATGGTATCTAGTGTAGAACTTATATAACATAAGCAGACTACTTAAATTAAGTACCAAAAGTGCACATGTGGCTAGTTGTAACCTCCTATATAAGGGAGCTTCTGGTAGTACCTATGTCTTATAATTTGAATAAAACAGTCATAACTCTAAAATAAGAGACTTTAACTTATAAAAAAAAAAACAATTTATTATATTATTTAAAAAATATTAAATTTAAATTAAAAATCCTGACAAATTTGTCTAAAAAACAGTTTAAGAAATATTATTAGCTTTTTATTTTATTTTTTTTAATATTAATGATAAGGCCATGTCTCTATTTTTATTGAATATTTAACTAAGATTTTTATATAAAGTTTAATTTACTTTTAAAATATTATAGCAAGAATAAAAGCTCAGA